GCACATTCAAGCTATAATTTTATCTGATTATAATCAGAACCTGGTTCGCGCATATATAAGAGTTACGTAAATGTTTCACATGAGTGTGTCGATATGAATACAATGATACATAACACATACTAAGGCCTTAAATCAGTGAAATGAGGAGCATCGCTCAGATCACCTACGCAGTACTGAAGAAGGGGATTTCTTCGCCCAAAATCAGACCGATTTATTCTGGTACCATTTATATGAGCTGCTAATCCTGAGATTTCGTCGTCAGGAAAAAGACCTATGCTCCACTAACACAGAAATTAGGATTTCTTCGCTAAAGTCAGGTTAGTTTCTTATCGTACGATTTAAACACATTATAGCACTGAAAACTTCTTACTGCTTGTAGGAAGGCGCATTCAAACTATAATTTTATCTGGTTTTGATCAGGAACTGGTATGCGCATGGAGAAGAAGTTACTAACTTATGAAACAGACACATAAGATTGATTACTGGGTCTGCTTGCAAGCAATGTTTAAAACGACGCCACTGTTCTAAATTACTGCTCGTCCTGCATAAAGTAGGAACTATTATTTTCCTGGCCATGTGAATGCTGGGAGTTTTCTGGCTAGCTTGTCAAGGTCTCTGGGGGTCACATCATGCGCTGCTGCAGGGATGCTTCCCTGTGGTTGCTTGAGGTATTATGGTTCTGTCTGCTGAGTTGTTAAGCAGAAAGTGCTGGCTCCCCCCTTCGTAGCTTCGTGCACCTGAGGGAGTTTGCACTGCTGAGTGAGGATGCAGGAGTAGGGTGTCTCTCCCACTGCGTCTCTTTTCGCCGCCTGTAGGAGTCCCTGAGTTCTCTTCGGAGCATGTCAAGCGTGTCTTGAGTGTTGTTCAGCTGCTGGATCAGAGTCTCAATTCTGGCAACTTTGTCTAAGAGCTCAGAATTTGCTGCTTTAATAGTAATTTTGTGTGGGTGTTTCCTTTCCAGGTCCTTTCTGGCTACCTTTTCCAGGTGCTCTTGCTGTTCAGCAGCTGTCAGAGCCTTTTTAAATCTATTGATTTCCTCCTGTAGCTCCATTTTGCTGGGGTCCTTGTGGGCTACCGCTGTGATCTGTTGCTTGAGATCATTTACCTCCTGTTTCAGACCCATGAGGTTGTGGGCCAGGAAGATAATGACCTTGGCGAGCTTGTAGCCACAACTCTCGCCCGAGTCCTGAGTCTGAGGCACACCCCTCTCCGCGTCCAGCCGCTTTCGGCTCAGTAGGTGGTCGTCGGCCCTGGGTAGGGGGTGTTCCTCACAACGCCTCGCCAGCCTTCTTTGGTCTGCATTCTGGGCAGTTAGTCTGAGCATCTGCAACGTTTTGACACAATGGTGTTGAGAGTAAGGGCTAGAGACTACTACAAGATCAAAACAGAGTGTGAATGCTAAAATAGTTTTGGGTCAGCATATGTTTTGCTGAAAAGGGCGTAAACAGGATTTTGATTGATGACTTAAGACTACTGTCAAATTATTGTCAAATTATCACTCAGAATTTGCTGACGGTTCCCCAACAGGCCCAATCTCTGAGGTATGAAGGAGAAAAGGGAAAAGCAGAAGGAAAAGGAGAGCATTTCTATTCAGATTATGCTGATTATTTTTGAAAATAAACAAATCAAAAATAGAAATGTCTCTGGTTCCTTTTGAGGTTCAGAGAGAACATCAAGGGGGCATAACATGTAAATGGATTTAAAATTAGCTGACTTCTATTATTAAAACAGGGTAATCAATCTGATATTAGGAACAATCAGTAGCACTCGTGATTAACTGATTTGTGTTGGGCAACACACCATGTCTGGTCACAGCTGCTGCGTGTTCAGCTCCCATGCTGGGCCATGCCATGTGTGTGCCCCGCCCTCCGTAGCGCGTTATTCACTGTGCCACTAAAAACACCCAATAACTTAATGATTCATCTCTAGATAGACAGTTAAAATGTAATTAAATTTAGATTTAATTAACTAGTAACTGAGCAATAGCATTCAGGAAGGATAGATCTAAGATAGTTAAATTCGCTGAGATGAATTGAAGATTGAGAAACATAGAAAAAGAAGAAAAAGAAGGAAGAGAAATGGAAAAATCAGAAACGAGGGATTAGGTTAAATTCAAATTGCTTCACACCGCACACACATGCTGTATTTAAGAGCTTCAATTAAAGAGTGTTAACCCCTAATTGTGAAAGCTATTTGAGTAGCTTAGCCTAAAATGAAACTATGCTAAGTCGTGTTAGCTTAGCTGCTTCAAATGGTTTGTTTACAAACATGGCGTGTTGTGCTATGTGACGTTAGCACTTCCTGTGACAAGTTGTTGTCACGGTAACCAATGCATGCCAGTGTAATTAACGCAGTTTAATGTCTGTCTATGTTAAACAGTCATAGTTTTAGAACGTGGTGCTTTCAACCTTCAAGACTTGTTGCATTACATTAGCACTTCGGTGAGTGCTTCTCTAATGCAACAATAAACTTCTTGCACTTGTTTAAAGAATTACAAAACATGTTTACTGTAAGTTAAAACCGGTTTAAACATATATGCAGTTATGTTTGCCTCACATATGAGTACTAAAGTACAGTATTACACCTTTAATTTCACTCAGCGAGTGAAACACAGTAATGACCACCAGGTTGCTCGGCTTATATATATACAGTCAAAGTGTAGATGAATTGCTTCAATCTAATTATAAACTATAAGGCCTTTATGCTGTAGAAAGAGGAGCAGCGCTCACATCTACCTTGATATAACTGTACTGAGATTTCTTCTTCAAAGAAACAATTTAAAACAATACTGCAATTTTGTGATTTCTTCACTAAAGCATATTACATTATGGTACAGTTTGGACATGCCGCTGAGCTGAGATTCAGACTTACGCTTTGTCAAGACAGATTTATGCTTTAATACTGAAATTAGGGTTTCTTTGCTAAAATCAGATTAACCTTACACCGATACCATTAAGCATGAAATACATAAAGACTCTACCAATTATAATAGCGGTACCAATTCAAACCCCCACTTTATCTGCATCTAAACAAGCCAGCAAATAGGGACACAACAGGGCATCTGAAGTCAATCCTATTTTAACCTGGGCTATCACGCACACACTTTTAAGTTGCCAGTGTTTAAACTCATAACTTTCATTTTATCACGCCCGCATTCTCTCCACCAATCTCTGTAGCGAATCAGCTCATGGGAAATATGAATAATTAACCATAACTAATTATGATTAATTATTAATATTTTAGATCCACTGTAGATATTTAGCTGACCACTCAGGGTCAACCGTCTTGTCAATTCTAAGAACGTTAATTTCCTGGTTAAAGGAAATAACCTTCTTACTGCACAATTCTATAAGTTTGTAACGTAAATCCGCATGATTATTGACTCCGGTTATGAGCAAACAATGAACACGTCAAGTGTGATACAAGTAAGGTTTTATTAACTACATAAACACTTAAACTAGTCTAACATACTACATAAACACATAGACTGGTCTAACATACACATACACACACACACACACACACACACA